GGGGGGGGGGGAAGGGAGGGGAAAAAGCCACGATCGGCGGCGGCAGGTCCTTCGCTCCTAGAGGGAGTGAGGGACCTGCCGCCCCCGAATTGCCGCACGTGCCACCCCTCTCCCTTGGCCGCCCCAAGCACCTGCTTGTTAAGCTGGTGCCTGGAGCCGGCCCTGGCGCCAAAGATTCATATGTCTCATCATGCTTCAACCTCCATTCCATAGGACATGCTTCCATACTGATTCATAGATTCATAGATTCTAGGACTGGAAGGGACCTCAAGAGGTCATCAAGTCCAGTCCCCTGCCCGCATGGCAGGACCAAATACTGTCTAGACCATCCCTGATAGACATTTATCTAACCTACTCTTAAGTATCTCCAGAGATGGAGATTCCACAACCTCCCTAGGCAATTTATTCCAGTGTTTAACCACCCTGACAGTTAGGAACTTTTTCCTAATGTCCAACCTAGACCTCCCTTGCTGCAGTTTAAGCCCATTGCTTCTAGTTCTATCCTTAGAGGCTAAGGTGAACAAGTTTTCTCCCTCCTCCTTATGACACCCTTTTAGATACCTGAAAACTGCTATCATGTCCCCTCTCAGTCTTCTCTTTTCCAAACTAAACAAACCCAATTTTTTCAGCCTTCCTTCATAGGTCATGTTCTCAAGACCTTTAATCATTCTTGTTGCTCTTCTCTGGACCCTTTCCAATTTCTCCACAATGATGATGTATTCTACTCGATAACAATCCAAAGTAGTGCGGACCGACACATGTTCATTTTCATTATCTGAGTCAGACGCCAGCAGCAGACGGTTGATTTTATTTTTTGGTAGTTTGGATTCTGTAGTTTCCACATCGGAGTGTTGCTCTTTTAAGACTTCTGAAAGCATGCTCCATACCTCGTCCCTCTCAGATTTTGGAAGGCACTTCAGATTCTTAAACCTTGGGTCTAGTGCTGAAGCTATCTTTAGAAATCTCACATTGGTACCTTCTTTGTGTTTTGTCAAATCTGCAGTGAAAGTGTTCTTAAAACAAACAAGATGTGCTGAGTCATCATCTGAGACTACTATAACATGAAATATATGGCAGAATGCAGGTAAAACAGAGCAGGGGACATAAAATTGTCCCCCAAGGAGTTCAGTCACACGTTTAATTAACACATTATTTATTTAACAACGTCATCAGCAGGGAAGCATGTCCTCTGGAATGATGGCCAAAGCACAAAGTGGCATACAAATGTTTAGCATATCTGGCATGTAAATACCTTGCAATGCCAGCTACAAAAGTGCCATGCAAATGCCTGTTCTCATTTTCTGGTGACATTGTAAATAAGAAGGGGGCAGCATTATCTCTTGTAAATGTAAACTTGTTTGTCTTAGCGATTGGCTGAACAAGAAGTAGGACTAAGTGCACTTGTAGGCGCTGAAGTTTTACATTGTTTTAGTTTTGAGTGCAGTTATGTAACAAATAAAAAATCTACATTTGTAAATTGCACTTTCACGACAAAGAGATTGCACTACAGAACTTGTATGAGGTGAATTGAAAGATACTATTTATCATTTTTACAGTGCAAATATTTGTAATAAAAATAATGTGCACTCTGATTTAAATTACAACACAGAATACAGCATATATGAAAATGCAGAAAAACATCCAAAATATTTAATAAATTTCAATTGGTACTCTATTGTTTAACAGTATAATAAAACTACAATTAATCAAGATTACTGGTAATTTTTTATAATTAATTTGTTGAGTTAATCGTGTGAGTTAACAGCGATTAATAGACAGCCTTACTTATTAAAAACAATCTGTAACCCACTAATGCACCCCAGCTATCACTCGCCTCCCTAGGACTGGAAGGGTGTTAATAGGCTATTTCACCTTGATTGGGCCCTTGAAATATGTGCTATTTATGTTAAACAATCTGTTCCCCCTTGTATAGAGCTGTGACACTCTGAGTACATTTCCCAGACCGGAAGAAGAGCTCTGTGTAGCTGAAAAGCTTGTCTCTCTCACCGCTAAGGGATATTACTTAACCCAGTGGTTCTCAACCAGGGGTACACAGAGGTCTTCCAGAAGGTACTTCAACTCATCTAGCTATTTACCTAGTTTTACAACAGGCTACATAAAAAGCACTAGCGAAGTCAGTACAAACTAAAATGTCATATAATTACTTGTTTAAACTACACTATAAATGATACACTAAGTACAATATTTATATTCCAATTAATTTATTTTATAATTATATGGTCAAAATGAAAAAGTAAGCAATTTTTCAGTAATAGTGTGTTGTGACATTTTTGTATTTTTGTCTGATTTTGTAAGCAAGTAGTTTTTAAGTAAGGTGAAACTTGGGAGTACGCAAGACAAATCAAATGCCTGAAAGGGGGACAGTACTCTGGAAAGGTTGATAGCCACTGTCTTAACTCACCTTCTCTCTTTAATATCCTGGGACTAATATGGCTACAACACTGTATACAGGGATGTTAGAACAATTATTATGGGGTGGGGGGTGCTGAAAGCCACTGTACAAAACTGTGAACCATGTATTTGGTTATTATTACATCAAGCCAGGGTGCTCCTGCACCCCCAGTTCCAGCACCCCTGACTGAGCCAGCTGCCCGCCCAGCTCGCTGCAGCTACAGGCACCTCAGAGACGCGCCCTCCCGGCAGCGTGCGGGAGCCGTACAGGCACGCACAGCAGTCACTAGGGCCGGAGAGCGCTTTCCGCCCGGCCGGGCTACCCCGTAGCAGGCGGAACGCTACGTTCAGCTGGGGCGCGTGACGCTCGTCTCACAGTCCCGCCTTCTCCGCGGGAGAAGAATCAGGCCCCACGCGCCCGCCCCATTCTGCAGGACGAACAGTAACAACTACTCCGCTTTTACCCAACGGGTCGCGCGGGGCGGGGCGCTACGAGGGATCATCACGTGAGCGGCTTGCCCCGCCCGCGTCACGTGACTCACGCACGGCTGGCGCGCCGTGCGCGAGAGGGAAGTGCCGAGCGTTTGCCCCGCCCACGTGGTGTGATGGAGTGAGGCGGGAGCGGCGCTGCGAGCCTGGTTAGTGGGTGCGGGGGAGCCCCGCGGGAGGAGAGTAAGGCGCGTCCTGGGAGACCCCCATTCCCCTTGCTGTGCCTGGTGCCGCCCGCCCCGCCTGTGTCTGGCTCCGCTCCTGGGGGCTTGGTCTGCGGGGGCTGCTCCGGCCTGAGTTGAGGGAAGCCCCTCGCTGGCCCCGCGGGGAGGTGGAAACGCGGGTGGACTTAAAACTGTCGTGATAACTTCGTTTCGCGGTGACACTTCGGTTTCTTTGGCCGCACAGGACACGCCCCGCCCTTGATCGCCAGCACTTGCCTGGCCCGCTGGTCTGTCCATGGCGCACATCACCATCAACCAGTATTTGCAGCAGGTAAGTGGGTTTTATTTGCCACCACCATTGCCTGTTTTTCTCCATACTACAGATAACTTACCCTGTTCAAGAAAAGGCAACCTAGAGTATGGGAGGTGATAATTAGGTAAGCTTCTCCTAAGACTGTTGTGAAAACAAAGTAACATTCATATGGCGCTTAAAAATGCAGGGCCTATATAAATATGTAGACCCCAATCGTGTGATAGGATCTGTTAGTGTGGGCTCTGGCATCTTTACGAAGTGGGCATATCTATACTGCAGCTGAGAGTGAGCCTCCCAGCCTAAGTAGACACACACACTAACTCAGTTCAAGCTAGCACGTTAAAAACACCAACGTGGATGGTGTAGCACAGAGGGTAGTCCAGGCTCTCAAGCCCCCCCGCCCCCCCGCGTCTGAGATGGGGAGGCTAGCCCAATTCTCTGCTGGACCCACAACTTCCATACTGCTATTTTTAGTAAGTTACCTCAAGCTCTGCTTGCATAAGGCTGTCTACCCTGGCTGGGAGATTTGCTCCCAGCTGCAGTGTAAACATACCCAGTGAGGCTTTGCACAGATGCTGGGGTCTGCATTAATGGATGCGATTGTAGGATCAAGGTCCAAATATACTTGCTATAAAGGTTCCTTCCTTGTCAAATGTAATACACACTCTTATTTAAGCACCTTAATGAGACATGTCAAATTTGGTCAGTTCGGCAAAAGGAGCCAAAAATTAAATATTAGCTGCCCAGATCCCTTTCCCAATTTCTGTGGCTTATCAGTCATGTTTTTATATCTTTAGAAAAGGTTTTTCCCCAGCTGTTGTTGAGTGACAGACCCGCAAAACTATAGGAAATTTAATATAATAATCAGTGAAATGACTATTTACAACATTTTGTCAAATGCATGAAGTAAAACTGTAAAAAGGAAGTATTTTTAAATTGATCATGTCCCTTTAAATAATCCTTGCATTGCAGTATATTTGATCATGATAGGACATTCTGGAACCTTAAATCTCTAGCTCTGTCGTCACGTTTCTTAACTGCAATAACAAAGTTATGCTATCTTTTATTGTCCAAATTCTCTTCATATTTTTAGATATTTCTATTTATTGAGAATTTTGCATCAAACGTCTTTTTAAAAAAAGCATACTCTGAAGATAAAGTCAACATGGAACTGAACTCATTGATTGTATGCGGACTATACTTAACTGTTTAGTAATGCTTTATTTCTTTACTGAAAGTCTTAGCTGACCTTAGTACTAATTTGGTTTCTGCTGCTGATTTAGAAGTGGGAATACATTTCCCTGAATAGTGTAGACAAGAATAATGCCATGTGCCCAATCCTGTATCCGATCCATACCCAAAACTCAGATTTATGTGAGTTCACAAAGATGCTCTGGGTCCAGTACTTTAGTTCCGACTTCAGAAAAACTTCCCCTTGAATTAAAGGGGAAGATTTTTCTGAGTAGAGAAGGCAGGATTAGTCTTTTTATGATTGGGCTGTGTTGTTAAATACTAATATGTGTATGAAATACATTTAAGAATCCTTATTAATGAAATCCAAACTCTCCTTCCTTTTAGCAACTCCAGTGTAAAATATTCAAAACTTGGTTTATGACTGCAAGTGTACTTTTTCTTCATTGAAGTCTGTCTATTGTTGTTATACAAAGTTTCTAAATTCTGTATAACTACTGTCAACGAAAGACAGTGGACTCATATAATTGCCTTGTGAGGTCACTGATCTGAGACACTTTGTACAACTAAGGAAAAATAAAGGTGTCTGGCTTTTTCCTGTTGAATTTTAATGCGCCTCTTCCAAACTAAAACTTCTTGGGAATAACATATGAGAAATTAATATTTGCAGAGTCATTGACAAGAATGCAAATGTCATCACAAGAGGATGATTTTTATTAGCTATGTGGCAATATGTTACATAGCTAAGGCTAGATCTTGTTCCTTAATGTGTGTAATTTTTTCTGTAATTTTTTTGTGTAGGTTCTGGAAGCCATTGATTCCAGAGATGGACTGTTTTGTGCAGAATTGGTGTCATTTAAGCATCCTCATGTTGCAAACCCCAGGCTTCAGGTACAAGAATTAGTTGCACTAACAAACCAAGGCCCCAATCCTACAAGGCATAGGTGCCGACTCCATGGGTGCTCTGGGGCTGGAGCACCCATGGAAAAAAAATAGGGGGTGCTCACCACCCACCGGGATGACCAGTTGTTGGCAGCCAGGTATCCGCTGTTGTGGGGGTGCCTCTGCAGATGAATTGTTTGGTATGGGCTGCCTGGGCGCAGCTGCAATCAGCTGTTTGGCAGGCAGGCTCAGGTCAGCTGTTTCGCACCCCCTGCTCCAGCAGGGGCTGAATGAGCCTTACCCAACCAAAAAAAAAAAAGCCTTAGGGTTAGGGGTGGGTGGCCGGACTAGCAGCAGCAATGCAGCCAGCCCCTGCTCACCTGGGGTCGCCCTGCACACACCTCTTGGGCTGGTGGCCATGGTGTCCACCTGTATGGTTTCTCCCGCCAGGCTCGACTCTGGCCACAGCAAGCACTAGGTGACCCAAGGGAGCCCAGCTAGGCTAGGGCTGATGGGTGCAGTGGCGGATTAAGGGGACGAAAAGCCCTGGACCCCGGCAGGAGCCCAGAGCCACCAGGAGGTGGGGAGCAGAGAGAGAGAGAGATGGGAAGAAGGGACATGGGTGGGAAGCAAGAAGGGGGAACATCAGGAAGGGGAGCAAGGACTTAGAGAAGAAATGAGAGAGGGAGAAGTGCAGGGAGAGTGATAGGAAAAGAGAAAAGAAAGAGGGGAAAGACTCCCCACTGCTTGTCCCGCCAATATGCCTTCTTCCCACAGCCATCAGTGGCCCTCAGCTCCCAAACTGGCCCTAAGCAAGTGTGAAGCACAGAGGGAACGCAATGTCTTTAAACTGGGATGTTAGTGAAGACCGCTTGTAGCTGAGTGTAATGATTTTAATATTCTGTAATTCATGATAATGTAATTATGTAGTTCATTACTATTTTAATAATGATTACATTAAGATACCAATGATAGACACACATTCAATAACTAGAATATGAAAGAAGTGTATAAATATGCTGAAAATTGCCAGTTTGGGGAGGGAGGCTGAGCCCCCCCCCCCTCCCCAACACGCATACCTCGCCCTTAAGGCAGGAGGGGGCAGAAAGGAGTGAGTGGGAGGCCCTCAGGGGAGGGGATCTAAGGGAAGGAGGCAGAGCGGGGGCAGGAAGAGGTGCGGTGGAGTGGGGGTGGGGCCAGGATGGGGCACCCACCAGCAAAACCAAAAGTCAGCACCTATGCTGAAAGGTGAGGTGCACAGGCAGACTTCTATTAACTTCAGAGAGGCTCTGAAAGGGTCCAGGAATTTGCTCATTTGCATGAAATTTCTGGGGGCTGAGATGGAAATATTCAGGTAGTTCTGAAGAAATTAACACAGAAAAGAATAGTGTGCATAACATGTATGTAGGCAAAAAAATCCCCCACAAAACAAACCCAAACTCTCTTGCTCCAGAAAGGAGACCCTAGTTAGGATAGTTAGGGAAAAACAATTTTCTGCCACTGCTCTTATAGAGGGAAAAAAACATCCTACAAAATGTAAAAGCGAGCAACAGTTCTGTAGAAAATACCTCTTCAAAAGATTACAGAGTTTAATGAAGTTATATTTTATCTATAGAATGTTTAAATAAGCTATAGACTTCAACAGAGAATGACCTATTATAAAATTCCTTCGGTTGGTTTAAAACATCTTTTAAAATTCTATAAGACTTAATGGTGTTGTATGCAATTTTTAAAAACTGTGCACTTAACCCAAGGTCAACTGAAGCAGCAATATGACATGAATTCCATTAGCGACTATTGCTATTAGCATGCATCTCTTCTCTTTCCCGCCACAACACAACACAATTGTAGGATGCTGTCCAGAGAAATACAAAGAAACATGGAAATTCTATTCTGTTCAGGTTTTTATACTTCACTGTAGTATCTGAGAAGTGAACTCTGTCATTGTCACTAATCTAAATGTCTCTTGTTCTTTCCCCTTCCCTTTTTGTCTGTACTGTCTCTTTTTGCTCTGTCACAGGTATCCTTTTATTGAAAAAATTGTTGTTTAACAAGCCAGAGCAGCACACGTTTCTGGTTTAGTTTCTCTCTCCTTCCTTTGTTTCTCTCTTTATCTTGTTCCACGGCATGCTTTTTCCCTTCCCTCCCCATTTCCTTAACCTTGGTTCTCCTTAATTTTCCACTTTTCCTCTACAATGAGCATGACTGTTAATGTTCTAATATATAGCTAAGGCTTATATGTATAAAAATACTAGCTTGATAAAAAATGCATATTTTTATGGAATTTTATACATTTAATGTTCCATTGATTCTATAATTAGCTTCCATCTCCAGAAGACAAATGTCAACAAGTTCTGGAGCCACCATACGATGAAATGTTTGCTGCTCACTTAAGGTAAAGACGGATTCAGAATGAGAGTTTTAATTTTGTTCTATCCAGGTAGAAAGGGGAAGGGACTCCATGAATTGATCTGATTTATTTGGAAGGTCACTGTTAAATGGGGGAGGGGAGAGAAATCACACCTTCATCTGAAAATTTTGTACCTATTACTGTTATAAATAATCCCTAAAATTGCTATAAATAAATGATACAGAAGACATTTACTGATTTATCTTTTTTTTTAGTTTACTGTGTGGATTTTGATAGTACTTCATGTATAGTCCATGTCACCATCTTATTGATAATGCATGCCCTTTTCCAGGCGTTGCAAAAGTGTGTTTGCTTTTAATAGCAATAGCAGACTAGGGTGACCAGATGAGAGGAAGAAAATATCGGGACACATGTGGGGGTGTCCGCCGGCGGAGCAAAACAAAAAAAACCAATGCTGTTGGCGGAGGGGGGAAATGCTGCCAGTGGAGTGAAATATCGGGACAAATTGCGTCCCGACCAAAGATCAGTTGGGACGCAGGACAAACACCTAAATATCGGGATGGTCTCGATTTTATCGGGATGTCTGGTCACCCTATAGCAGGCACAAAAGTGAACGGGAAAGAGAAATTTCTTAAATAGGAAAAAGTGATTGTAAACCTGTGAAAACTGGCAGAGCTCTCTCATGCATCTTTAGTATCCAAAGTATTTCTTTACTGCTTTTTAAAATTAAATAGAGGTCAAGTTGACATTGTCTTTTTAATTTTCTCTCATTTCAAGAATCTTGCAAATTATCTATCTAGGTTATATTGAATGACAATTGTAGAGATGTCACTTAAAACTGGTGTGTTCAGATCTGTTGCTGTATAATGTCACTCAATATTCAATTCCAATATTTATTGCTGTTTAAGAATACTTCTAATAAGCCTGTTACTAAAACAAACTGCAAAGCTTTAATTTATCTATAGAGAAGGAGACTAATATATTAAGCTACCCTTTAAATATAAAACACTTTTCAGTGTCCTCCTTAATGCTTTTTCTTTTGACAGATGTACTTACGCTGTTGGAAACCATGACTTTATTGAAGCTTACAAATGCCAAACAGTGATAGTACAATATCCTTTACCATCAGTTCAACTTGAACTTGCAGATGTTACTCCGGGAGGAAATTCTGCTTGAAAAAATTGAAGAGCTCTTAAATGAACTATCTGGGATAACTTCATGTTTGAGGAGGGGAAGATTCTTTCAAATGTGATGGAATTACAAAATATAAACGTGGTTTGATTTCAGAGTGTGTGTGTGTGTGTATGTATGTATGTATGTATGTGTGTGTGTGTGTGTATATATATATATATATATAAAGCTCTTTAGACTTGTAACAAATGAAACCCAAATAAAATTTCCCCCTTCTCCTCTCCACAGGGGTAAAAAAAAAAGTACCAGTTGCCCCCAAGCCAGAGAATTAGTCTCCTGGAGTCCCCCACATAATGTAGAGGGGAGGATGATATTGCAAAGAGCCACTATCCTGTTCCTTTCCTTGGGCCTCTCCCACTCCCATGTGCAAGGCACCGCGCTTCCTCAGTCAGGGTAAAGGAGGTAGCATGCAATAGAGCTGGACTCATCCCTTATGTGCCCCTACACTCCAATTCCTGATCTGTTGCCTTTTTTGCAGTCTTCTACACTCAGAAATAGGGCATACCATATAGCCTCTTACACCTATCCCATTTTACTTCACGGGTCACTTTGTAAATTGTGTGTTGTGTTCTCCTAAATATAACACATCATTCCTGCGAGCATTTCAAGCACATAAAGAAGAAAACTGGTAAGTACTTTATAAATGTAATGTTAGTAACTAGGCAGGTGAATAGATTTAGATGATTGTTACTGCTACCTTTCATCCCAAAATGCAACCATAGTTCAATTAAGATACCACCATAAAAATAACTTTCATTTATCTATAATGATTTGTTTCAGTTATGTACACCAGTTATTTACTAATTAAAACTGTTATGTCACTCTGCCCTTTTGAATTTGTATAAAGGACCAAGCCCAAAATCTGTTCATTTCTCTGTTCAAATTGTTTAGCAAACTTACTTTGTTTCCCTTTAAGTAAAGCATTGATTGCAGGATGATGTTCTGCTTGACAGTTTGTCACCTGGAGATTAATTAAATGCATTATTCATTTACTGCAAGTAATGATGTGTGAAACACTGACTTTTTAAAGACATTTTCCTATAAAATGTGATTTTGTAAGATTTAAGGAAAGGAAAACTGGATATGTAGGAAATCGTATACCCACCAGGAACACTTACCTCCATATGGACTAAAAAATAACTTGTGTGGCTTAACCTGCAGTATGGGTTTAGTTGCTCATGCATAATAAATATATTGATTTTTTGCTTCTGTAGGGCTTTGCCTATTATGTATGCTGTAGCACTTGACCTTCGAATTTTTGCTAATAATGTAAGTAGACAGGAAACTTGAAGTTTAACAATTTCATGTACTCTAGCTGTCAATAAGGAATTTATTTGACTGAAGTGTCTTAAACTTTCAGCCTTTGTTTAATCTTATCTGTGGTCTCCCTTTTATGTAAGGAGGTGTTACAAAATAATTAGGGTTGTCAAGTGATTAAAAAAAAATAATCTCAATCAATCACACTGTTAAACAATAATAGAATACCATTTATTTAAATATTTTTGGATGTTTTCTACATTTTCAAATATATTGATTTCAATTGCAACACAGAATACAAAGTGTACAGGGCTCACTTTATTTATTTTTGATTACAAATATTTGCACTGTAAAAAAGAAAAGAAATTGTATTAAGTGAATTGAAAAATACTAATACTGTAGTGTAATCTCTTTATCATAAAAGTTGAACTTGCAGATGTTACTCCGGGAGGAAATTCTGCTTGAAAAAATTCTGGGCACAATATTTTAAAATTCTGCAAATTTTATTTGTCAAAATAACACTATATAATCACGCCAGTTTTAATTATTTTGATAATTCATTTCAAAATACCTGTCAGCAATACAGACACACAAAAAATTCCCCCAGGAGTAGAGAATTAAAGAAACCCCTATGACAACCAGGGCTGGCTCTAGGCACCAGCAAAACAAGCTGGTGCTTGGGGCGGCACATTTTTAGGGGCGGCATGGCCGGCGCCAGAATGCCGCCCCTAAAAATGTGCCCCGGCCGCCCTAACTCACCTCCACTGCTGCTGGCGTGCGAAACAGCTGTTTCGCGCGCCACGGCCGCTCGGGGTCTCCCCTTCCCTCCCAGGCTCTCAAACCTGGGAGGGAGGGGGAGAAGCGGCGCCCATGCCGCGGCCACTCGGCGTCTCCCCCTCCCTCCCAGGCTCTCAAACCTGGGAGGGAGGGGGAGAAGCGGCGCCCGCGCCGCGGCCACTCGGAGTCTCCCCCTCCCTCCCAGGCTCTCAAACCAGG